AATCGTAACTCTGTTCACAAAAATCCTACAAAAATTCTTACTTGCTCACGTAAACGCTACCCACATAAAACATCTATATACGCCTTTGCCTATTTTTTTTCTGTTAGAAACCAAGAAAACGGAAATTTTTGTGCATTTGCCAAAGTGATGCTGTGCCATCCCCACATAGGTAGTTGTATACCACAAGCCTGTAGAAGTACAGACTTAAATTTTCAGCTTCCTACAAACTTTAGTTCTCGAGAAATACCGAATATAGCTTTCCCTAGTTAGGTGGTCCGAGCTAAAATTCAAATTTCTCGAATATTAGTGCTTGTAGAGGGCTGAGAATTTACACTTGTACTTTTACAGGTTTGTAGTATACAACTTATGTGGGAACGGCACAGCAATACTTTGGCAAATGCACGAAAATTTCCGTTTTTTTCGGTTTTAAACAGAAGAAAAAATACGGCAAAGGCGTATATAGATGTTTTATGTGGGTAGCGTTTACGCGAGCAAGTTAGAATTTTTGTAGGATTTTTGTGAACAGAGTTACGATTTTTTTCGATTTTTCGGGCTGCTGAGTCTTTTTAGTTTTTGGCTCGAAACTCGAGGTGGATGAGAGCTATCGCAAAAGCAAGATGACCTTCTTGTAGAGCTTGCTATGCTCTATCGAATGGCACTTTGGAACCTATTTAGAAGTGAGAAGTGTATGAATTATTGCGGTTCAAACTTAAAACAGGCATTAATTTCCGGACAACCTAGTAAAATAAAATAAAAATAAAAAATAAACCCATTAACATCATCAGGCCCTTGGATGGCTAACGTCTTCGCTCTCCATTCGGACAGGGACCTTGATATTTATTTCTGCTATACGCGTAGAAGAACAGCACACACTGGTCTAGACCTTCAGTTAGGTTTCGGCCAACTTCCATGGATTGAGTTGGAGTGCTCGGAATTCTTTTTGCTTATTTAACCAACAAAAACCAAGAATTCGTCCAAGTTATGGCTGTAGGCAACTGCACCCGGCATCCCTCCATGCGCATTTCTTCGCTTGCCAATTTTTGAAAAAAGGCTCGAAAGAGTAGAAAATTGATGCTTTTTTTTTCAAAATTTCTTCTTGAAATCTTCGATTCAGCTGCCCAATATGTCAAAGATAGCAAGTGAAACGATCGTAATTTATAATTCAGCTTGCAGGTAAAAGGATACGCTGCCATGTATAGATTTCATGTTCCGAATATTACCTAATTTTCGTAATTCAAAAATTTTTTTCTCAAGCATCAATCAATATGGAAGTTCTGTTCTAGATTTTCACCGTGGTAAAGCGGAATTCTTACTCCTTCTGTTAGATGTATCGCAGTTTTGTAGTGTTTGAAGCGTTACCAAACTAAGCAATCACCTTGTTTTTACTCAACAGCTGAGACAATTTCACCAGAAACTGAGGTGTAGTAGACGTCATCCGTCTAGTCATCTCGGTGCGATGTGTGTTAGCGCACAAAAGTTTAGAGTCCCGGTTGAGGCGCTGGGATCTCGCCGTGCTGTACTTACACTATTTGCGCAGTACGGCTAAAATTTGACGCCAAACTGCTTGATTTCTACATTTAATGTTTTTTTTTCCAATTTAGCTTCACCTCACGGTCTCTTTCTATAATTTACCTTTTTCAAAAGCCGTGCATGCCGTTTTAGAACGAAAAAAAAATTGTACCGATTTTACTTTTAGGTAGGTACTTTTAGGTACGATGTATAAAGGTGGCAAGTCATCAAAACTTAGACCTTGCGTGAAAACAAGAAGGAAAAAAACAAAAAACAAGCACTTTGGCGTCAAATTTTAGCCGTGCTGCGCACTTGTTGTAAGCGCCTCATCCGGGATTCCAAATTTGTGTGTACTAACACACTTCGCACCGTGGTGACCAGATGGATGACGTTTACTATAGCTTTCCTATCTCCCGAAATTTTCGGAACTATGAGTCCCGAGCGCGAAATTTATCGACCTTCTTCTAAACGTATATCACAGAATGGTCTAGTCTGTCAATCGTCACCAAAATACCACCAAATCTTTGATAATTACCTAGTGGATGTAAGCTAAATTTTTTACCAATGGTCCTGTAACTGAAGCAGGATATTGCAATGACGGATAGCAGAATAATTAGCGTTATCTTGTGTCTTGTAATGTAGGTGAATTTCCAGTTTTGCAATATTAGTGAAAATTCTGGTCCCAGTATCTTGCACCTAACACGGATTCAAGCAATAGAAGCACGACGGAGCAGGGTACATTTTTGCAAAACGTATTCGCACCTCATTCAAACCTTAAATTATCATCCTCAATCTCAACAATTCGCCCAAGTTGCATTAGGCAACAATTTATACTTTTTGCGTATAATTATTACGAGCATAAATAACCACTGCCGAGCTCATAGATCAGCCACTCAATCGAATAATTTTTTGCTGGTTGATCTTTTGCCGGATCCTTTTTTCCACCGAATTTTTTAGTCATGAATTTTTTGTATGGCTCGCTGACTGTGCTGAATTTTGGCTTTGTAAAATGTCTGGTAGTTGAAACTGAACGACAATGACTTTGTTTACTCTATATTGAGAGTATAAGTATTGATGCGCTATGCACGGAGTCCCAAAAAATGTGAACACTGTTTGATCGTTAAGAACTCTCCTGCTTTCAAGTCTTTCGCCGATTTTGGGGAGCTTAGGTATTGAATCTATAGAGCGAGGTTCAACTCAGATATAGAGTGTGGATCAAATCATCAATCACTCTTTATTACTGTAGGATAACGGTATGAATTTTGAGAAGGGTTTTGGGAGAGTGAAAGCGATTTTTGCCTAAGAAAGAAAACCGAAAAGTCAGAAATTTTGCATTGGACGATACGAAGCCGCTAAACCTCCTAAATATGAGCTTTTATGAGTTATTTGACATTTAGGGAAACATCTGTTTTTTCAGTGTTCGTCAGAAATGTGATTATGCCACTAAAATAGCTCAGGAAACTGGTGGAAAGTTTTTAGTGAAATCCGCACGCCTGAAAACTTTACTACACAAACCAGATTTTTTTTCGGATTTTTTTTTCCATTAAATTTCCTATTTCATAGACCATTTGATGGAAAAATGCGCTTTATGCTGATTTCATACCGTAATCCTACATTAGTAGAGAGTAACTGATAATCCGGTCCATACTGCGTATCTATAAGTTGAACCTGGTCCTACAGAGCGATACCTGAAGTCCGCCGAAAGACATGAAAGCAGGAGGGTTATTAACGATCAAACAGGTTCATATTTTTCTTTTGGGACACCTTGTATAATTACGTGATTCTTAAATAATACGAGACTAAAGTCCAAGCTCGATTATCGATGAATCTTGGCATGAGTTAGTTATTCGTATACGTATTCTATAGCCGATAACCAAGATCGTTAACACGCTTTATTCAAACAGGCTAACGTTTCGGTGCCTTCACCTTCGTCGGAGCCTCGGCAATCAAGGCTCCGACGAAGGTGAAGGCACCGAAACGTTAGCCTGTTTGAATAAAGCGTGTTAACGATCTTGGTTATCGGCTATAGAATACGTATACGAATACGAGATTAGTTCAAAAGCGACAATTTGTTTCGGGAATAACATCAAAAATGAAATTGAGCAACCTCTCATCAAGTCAGCTTCGAATTTTCAATGCCATCTCTATTTCTCTACATATGACAGCAGAATCGACACGCCACAAGATTAGAAGTCCTAGTCAGCGCCAAATATGTGACATCGCCTGATATCTTAGTAAGCACAAAGCATCTAATAACAGCTATTTCAAGCGCTTAACATCATTATATTGATGAAAACGTGGTACGATAGCAGTGAGTTTCTATTCGCTCATGTACTGGCAAAGATAATGGCTTTAGTAGAGGGCGTACCAATTTGATAACGAAAACATCCGTACTAATAAATGATGCAAATTGCTATTGGCCGAGTCATTTTGAATCTTTGTGCACTTCTTCACGCTCTCGAGTTATTTCTCTTACCGTACATTCCTCAGCTGCATTTCTCAGACCAACCCAAAATGCAATAACGCTGCATTGGTATAAATTATCTGGCAACAGAAACGCAAGCAAAGTCTAACAACGAATTAAAAATGCAACATATTTTTTGGAAGAAATAATAATACGTTAACTAGCCAATCGCAGAAGATCTCTCTATGCCTCCGGATCTCCAAACTCTGGCTCGTGCCTGCATTTAGCCTTAAAAGGTAGGCAGAATTTTACAAAATTCGCGGAAGTATCCCAGAAGAGTTGAAGCTGTGCAATTACTTTATTTCGTAAGTATTGAAGTGATACTTGAACTCTTTGCAAATTTAAATTAATCTTGTAAATGAATTTTCTTGGGCTTTAATGTGATCAAAAGCTGCGCCAAACAGTCTTTCTGCCAGTGAGTCTCTCAAGAAAAGTCAGGTCAGGTTGGCTGTTGCAGAACCACGCATTCTGAACACTCTTAGTGCCTAAAAGCTGGTGTTTAGGAAGCTGGCCTAACGCACAAGCATCATACAATACCGTATTTTTTTGAAAAAAATAAAGCAGAGTCGCCCAATTCATATGACATTACCGTCGTATGTCTATATCTCACTCCAGTATGGACGAATTCTTGATCCAAGGACACCATTCGACTCAGCTCGGCGCGGCGATCTTCGAATGCCCGGAAGTGTCCGCTTGGACACAGTAGGAGCCAGGTAGGAATCGTTTTAGATTTTTGCTTACGGTAGGTTACTCGGTGCGCTTATTCATTGCACTCACTTGGCAACCTACGTGAAATCTGGCCTCCTACTATGTTCAAGCCGGTTATGTTAGAAGATGCGCCGCGCTGAGCTAAGTCGAATGGTGCTCTTGGATTAAGAATTTTCCCACTACGAGCGGTATTGTATGTTGAAATGAGCTATAATAGTACCTAGCCAAACAAAACAAGTAAATTTTTGAATCTTTCCTATTATATTGCACTATATCAATATCAAATGAAATTTGCAAACTAATCATTCTCCTTTTTTTTAGAAAATGATGCGTCATTTTGTTGCATTTTCACTGCTGTTATTCGTTTTGGAAATCTCAGTCGAGGCATATGTGTATGTACCGAACTATGACCTTTGCTTCACTTTTATCGGTGATTCTGCATGCAGATCACGTTGCTTGAGAAAATTTGTATGCCTATTTACTCATCTATTCGAATCATCAGTTTAAGAATTGACTCATTGAATTGAAATTCAGAATTGCCGAAACGGACACTGCAAAAATGTACCAACAATCAATAGAAAGACATGTTTCTGTGAGGATTGTCCCGGTGGTCAAAAGACGAAGGAACTCTCTGGATTCTGAGCTTTTTGCGCATGATACCAGTATAAAGTTATTATGATGCGAGTTAGTCAATGTTTTCAATACACAACGATATTATTCAAGTTATCAGAGATTTCCACATTTTAATAATGTACGAGGGAATAGCTGGTATGCTTATCTTACCATGCTAACACAATTCTGTTCTTTGTCCCACTGTCAAATGTTCAAAATTAGTAGATTCACGGAAGTGCACGGTGAATTACCTTTTATTGACAAGGGAAACATACTTGGTCGAAGTGGAGTCCATATGAAATATACAATGTCTTATAGCTCATGGAACGCTGTTTCAGAATCTGCTTTTGTTATCTGCAAAGCTTGCCTGGGAAGGGAATAATGGGAATGTTTTTAAACAAAATTCAAGAGTTTTGGCTGAGGTAAAAACAGGCGTTTGAGTCTTCCAATGCTTGAAGGAAGTAATGACGGCATAAATTATCGGTCTGAAGCTAATAATTACACTGAGCACCCTGGCAGTAATCATAGCCCCATTTGAGCTCACAGGCTACACGGATGATTTTATTGTAGCCTCGGATTCAAATTTCTGCTTAAAAAAGCCCCATAACTCTCCTTCCGAGCTTTGCAGATAACGAAAGCAGATTTGAAATCAGTGTTCCATGCTCTTTAACACGGAATGCCATTTCGGTCAAGAATCTTCCCCTTGTGAGAAGGTTGAAACTTGTACAACTGTTCTAAGAGGAATCAAAGATGAACTTAGGCAAAAAACACTCAATATTATAGCGCTTCCCTCGGAAAGAGATTCTCACACATAGCCATTGCATAGCTTATTGAAGGAGGAAATGATCCAGAAATCTTCGTGCATGTAATTCCTGATAGACTCTGTAAGATACAAGTGTTTTTAAAAATAATGGTTTGCATGTTTTATGAACAAGCGTCAAAAAGACTTCCACATGGTGATTTTGAAATCATTATATGGAAGTCTTTGAAATCATTATATGGAAGACACTTCAAAAAAACATGCAAGGTTTTTTCTCAAGATTACTTGAATCACAGATCACGTCAGTGGGAGGGATGTCATCAATCTATTAAGTAGATCGGGCCAAATAGCAGTTACGCACTTCTTCAAAAATCTGCTTGTAAGTAGAAAGAAACACTTGGAACGCAGATAACTCGCAATCAGATTATTTAGTGGAAAGTTTATAGTCAAACCCGAGATTGTCTTCGGAATTGCTTTATCTTCAATTGTCCACAAAAACTGCATGTCTGCATGGACAGAACTTGTCAAAGTAACGCATCCCGAGTAGTACCAACGTTGACTTTGTTAATATAACTGTTGGTCAAGCCTTTTTACCAAAAGTCCACGTTGGTGAGTTGATATGCAAAAGCTATCTACATAAAACTGCTCTGCTTATTTTAGTTCTCGTCAACGACCCGATCAAAAATGCAATGATTGATGCTATTTGAAAAACAAAATATTACTACTCGCTACTGAATATTGCTGGAATAAAGCCTAAGAGATGTTTCGCGATTATTATCTATGGAAGCTTTCTGAAACAACACTAGGGCAAGTATCACCGCCATAGCGCTCCATTTTAGATTATGACTAAGAGATGCTAGAAAACTCTTGCGTTATCCTAGGTAATGAAATTGGATTGCATGGAGCTAAACATTTTTAAGCTAGTGTGGCTGATCTGCGAATCGTCACGGTTTGCCAAAATGATACATTCTTCAATGTCGTTCCATTGCGGAGATCAAAGGTTTCTGTCCTCGCTCACCTCGAGAAACACATGATTTTGTGTCATTTGGAGTGAGCGCATAGCAAAAGCGTTACGTAAAAAAAGAAGTTTACTTCATGAGCTATTCAAGGCGGTGTTCCTGCATTTTTGGTACATCTAGGAAATTTACTTAGCTGGATTACGTTTCCGGTACCAGAAAGTAATATCAGGTCGTTCCGAAAGTAATGTCGCTTTTTTCAAACGTACGCCACATTTCGTGGAACAAAGGTGTGTAAGAGATTCCGCTAGCATTTGATGCAGCATTCCATTCTCTTTCTAATGGTTATGAAGTTGCAACACAATCAATGATCTTCCAGAAAAGAGTCAGAATCTGCGACCTATACTTTTTGAGATAACCAAATTTCAATTTTTCTAAAATTTCATAACAACAAACCTCAGGAGGAGTCCAAGTAATGGATGGACGGGAAACAGCACAACTTTTTTCTACTTTCCAGAGCTCGTCATAATTTTTGTACAGATTTTTTGATGGAGCCACCGATTAGCAGGCTCGTCTCAGACACAAGTGCATCAAACGCCGACAAGTCTCCGGATTTTGAAACTTACAAAGATGGATTATAATTTGGCAACAATTTTACAAGATGGATTATGGTTTGGCAACAATTTTATAAACCAAACGAGCATTCACCATTCGGTTTAGCGAAAATTTCGGGTACACCTTGGGGTGCCTTGGAAAAGTTGAATTATGATGATTTTATCCCGGAAAACTTGATGAATCGGGAACAAAAAATCATCTTTAGAAAGGGGAGAAAAAGCTGCATCGAATGACACCCAAGTCGCTTGCCGGCTGTTGTTCTTTGAGGTTTGATTTGACTAAATATGGAATTTGATGGCATTGAGAAATTGATTGTAGAAACTCTGAGAAGCAAGCTAAGAAAAAGAAAAAATTACTCTGTGTTCTATAGTGTTTGCTCTATCTATCTGCCGCTTGTACTTTTTCGGAGATTAGGTATAAAAATTTAGAAAAATAGCCGAACTTGACCATGGCAAAAAGCATAAGTCGCACTTTGGTAATTTTTCGAGAGCTCATTGAACATTATGCATGAAATTAGAACGCTTAGAAAGAGGATAAAATGCTGCATCGAATGCTCATAAGATCTCTTGAAAATGTTGATTCCACGAATAGTGGCGTTCATTCGAAAAAAGCGACATTACTTTCGGAAAGACTTGATACATTTTTATGACTTCTCTTTCTTTTACTGGGAAAATAGTGCTGGAAATTTCTCTATTTTCCTGAATATACTAGGTAATCTCACAAATGGTTTCCGCGGCTTCGACAGGAAACAAATATGGTGAAAGAACTCAGAGACTGTCCTCTCTTTAAAATTTGCATGATTGATAAATATTCGTTGTAGATTTTTGCGCCATAGAAAAAACAGACTAATCGTCAGGTGATAATAGCTCTCAGAATGTACTTGAAATTAGCTTCCTTAACCTTCATAACCTTAATTACCTAGCCAAACCAAAACGCAAATTTTTCACGTCTGCCGCTCTTCAAACGACAGAAGAACGCCAGTGTCTGTTTCGATGGTTTCGACTCGCTTCCGAAGAACGGGTGGAGTAGGGTCGAAATCTCTTGCTTTGCGTAAGTCACAAAAACAAAAAGTCTATTTCCGCATTGCTATAGGCAGCAGAATGGTTCAGGTCCCTCCCGCGTTGCCATTTTGGAAAAGATGTGAAGTCAAAAATTCAGGCTTTGGTCAAAGCAGGAGATGAAAAGATGAAAATTTTCTGGTTGTTTCTACTGATTTTTTTCTGTGTGCTACTCGTCTAACAACCTTGAAATAAAATGCCACTAATTTTTTTTACAGAAATCTCGGATCGTTTGTTACTCCCAACTTCTTTGACAAGCCGCATGTGAGTAGTTCATAAAATGACCTCACAAATCAATCCACTCGCAATAACAGAAAGGAGGGAACCTTTTGTTTAAGCACTTGGATGTTGACCACTTAGTTTTCCCTTTTCAACTAACCTAGGACTATCGAATCAGCAGAAAATTATTATTTTCGCTCCGCTTTACTTATGTAAAACGGACGAGAAGAATGAGAAGAGCTGCTCCGTGTTTCCGCACTTACATGCATAGGTTTGGTTATGAATGAAAGTGCTGGCTGAGACATTTATTCTCAGGAGATGCACGGGTGAGAAAAGTTTTCCATGCTAATCACCGTGATTTATATCACACAGCTTCAACAACTCCACAAGGAAAAGCATTTTCTTGGAATTCCAGGTGTGTCATAACAGAGCAGTAACACGGAAAGCTCCTTGCGATGTAGGGTAGAATTACGCAGACATCATACTGCATGTATCGTTCAATTGTGAATGGTGGTAGTTTATGTCTGATAGCTTGTCAAATTGATGTGGAGGTGGCGCTCAGATCAAAAAGAAAACTTGCAACCTTTCAAGCTTTGCGAAACGCTGCCATTGAACAGAAAGAACTATGGTTTTGGAAATTTTCACTTTGAAGGATTGAAAGTCATTGGAAATTTAAAAGCTTATATCAAAGACATCTAAAGCATGTAGCAGCGCTATATTCTTGCGGGATTTATCCTGCAGAAAAAGCCTTGTCAGCTCGCGCACTCTCAAAAACTATGTTAGAACCAAAAATAATGACAGTCCATTCAGACTGAAACATTTTGAACCGTTCTTTTTCCAGTTATGTGTTCTTCGAAACTCGCATTTCGAAAAGCAGAAATAGTGTATAAATTCTTTCATTGACAGTCAATGATGGTTAAAAACAGAACATGCTTCAGAACATTTTTTGTTGATTGAATGGACCCTCGTGAGATATCCTTGCACTAAGTATCATTCTTTTCTTTAAACGCTTGCATAATTATAAATTGAGACTAAAACCGTCGGCTCTTGTCGCGCAGGCCTTTGCTTAAACGCTTGCATAATTATAAATTGAGACTAAAACCGTCGGCCCTTATCGCGCAGCATTTGCTGCTATTTTTTTGCGAGCAAAGCGCCTTGTTTCAAAATAAAACAAAGAGGTCTAACGTTCCGCTTATTTTATTGAAAATCAAAATTGTCATTCTTTTCTTTTGCAATAAGCTTTTTTATGATAAAGCAGACAATGATTCATAATCCTTACTTTTCTTGCACGGATAGTGTTACGTAGAAGAACCGATAGCTGCGGATCAAGGAGGGCACAATTTTTGCCCTTGAGCGGTGTAATCAGCTTTGAATAAGAAATAGTCACTGATAATTGAATTTTAAGAGGCTTTTGAAATTTGCTGGTGTTCGGTGCATTTATTCGATAGCAATTTTTTTAAATTT